ATAACCTGAATCTCTCACTCACTGCTGTTTGAATTGAGAAAGCTCCTCGGATGAGGAACGAAACGTCTTCTGTTACAAATAAAGTCCAGTTGTTTTTGTATTGAGCGTTTTTTGATTTGTTGACTATTCTGTCTAACAAGACAGAATAGTGTCCTGATGGCAAGCAACAACAAGAAGGTGAATATCAACAGACTGAGTCATCTCACAGATACAAATGGCTGAAAAGTAGACTGCCCAAGTTCAGCCGTAGAGACTGAAGGAGAAGATTGGTCGCCCAGATGAAGCTTGGAATAGAGCCACTACTGAAAGTAAATGGCAAATGATCAACTATTCAAATTTTTAAGCTCAACAGAGTCTGCAAAGATCTTTACAGAATGTTTCATTGGTATAATGGTATGGTATAAAGTTTATTCATTTAAAAAAAAAAAAAAAAAATTCCATAAATTATAAAAAAAAATACAAGAAATTTAAAATGAACGGCAGCAGAAAGAAGAAAATCTTATATCTGCCCCTTTTTTCAAACAATTTGTTCAATGATAATAATCTTCAAGTAACAGAACAAAACAAATAACTCTTTCTAATTTTTCTAACTAATACAATACACACTAAGCTACTTCATATATATTTTTTAACAATCCAGTTTTGATCTTTTTCTTAAATGTACACATTGACTTGGCATTTTTAACATCACTCTCTAGACCATTCCACAATCCAACTCCTTGAATTGAGGTAGACCTTCCCTTCAGACTAGTTCTGAATTTTGGTTTGACAAATATCTCTATCCCCTTAAGATTATAACAACTTTGTCTTTTAACAAAATTTCTTTGGATATTTAACGGTAATGTGTTATTTTGAGCCCTATACATAACTGATAAAATACTATAATCTACCAAATCGTGGAACTTCAATAACTTCAGTTGATAAAATAATGTGCTTGATGGGTGACTGTAATGCTTTCTAGTGATAATTTTTACAGCTCTTTTCTGTAAAGTAAACATGGGCTTTGTAAATGTTTTACACGCTTTCCACCAAATATCAGTGCAATAGATTAAATGTGGAACAGTGATTGTGTTACACAACATATACAGAGCTTTATCATTTAATAAGTCCCTGACTTTGTATAGTACTGCAATAAATTTAGCTATTTTTATTCTTACAGAATTTGTGAGTTTTCCATGTTAGCTGTTCATTAATGATTACACCCAAAAATTTCATCTCATTAACTCTACAAATCTCAACACCCTCAATTTTAAATGGATCATCAACAGTTCTCTTTTTGTTACTGAATATCTTGTATTTACAGTGCCTTGCGAAAGTATTCGGCCCCCTTGAACTTTTCAACCTTTTGCCATATTTCAGGCTTCAAACATATACATTTTTAATTTTTTGTGAAGAATCAACAACAAGTGGGACACAATTGTGAAGTGGAATGAAATTTATTGGATGTGTCAAACTTTTTTAACAAATAAAAAACTGAAAAGTGGGGCGTGCAATTGTAGTAAGAACATATCCTGATATATTCATAAATTAAACGGATTCTTTCATTTTTCTGGACTGTATAATAACGTGCATCTGAATTTAATAAAATGTGGACGTGAGACGTTAATTATCTTTGACTCACCAACGACAGTGGGTCATTTATTAACAGAATCAAGTTTAACACATCACACATTTACATTAATTGGCAAGAATTGAAAATAACAACAGCTTATTAATCAGTTTTACAGGAAGTAAACAATGCAGCGATTGTTCTCACTTCCAGTAGTACAACGTCAACCACAGGAGGGGGGAGTATAACTTTGCTTCAGACATTTCTAAAAATATCCGTAATGATTTTTAGCAGATAGAAGAATTTTAAAGATGGAAAGATGAAGTTTATCTACAGAGAGATGTGTGAGGGAATTTGTCTGTTTTAACCAGAACAGCACTACACAATATTATTCGCCCCCCTTGCGTTAATACTTTGTAGCACCGCCTTTTGCTGCAGTTCCAGCTGCAAGTCTCTTGGGGTTTGTCTCTATCAGTTTTGCACATGGAGACACTGAAATTCTTGCTCATTCTTTCTTGCAAAACAGCTCGAGCTCAGTGAGGTTGGATGGAGAGCGTTTGTGAACAGCAGT